ATATACACAAAGTACATCGTCAAGCACACTAAAGATACACTGTCGTATAGCAATCAGTTCTTTCAAATCGATCTAACTTTTGTCTCTGTAAAGAGTCTGTTATCATCATTCGTCATGGATTGGTGTGTTCCTCACCATACTAAGTTCATACGTTTCCAACGCCCTGACCGTCAAATTCACGAAATCCTTGCCATACGTAACGACAACCCGACATAGATCTCAGAATCGCCCTCCTCATAATTTAGACCCCGATGAACTCATATGAAGAGTACTTTACCCTCCGAAACCCTTCCGAAGTATACCCAGTGGACTATCCAGAGCTACCACTCGTTCCATAGGTCGAGTTTAAGCTTAAAGATTAACACAAATCCATATTCAAGAGATGGACAAGAGAATCGTGCTGATAAGAACGAACACTTGTGGAGTTCCAGGTTGGTAACCGTGTCCTCTTGAAGGTCTCAACCAGGAAAAGGCACGATACACTTTGGAAAGCGTGAAAAGTTGAGTCAGAAACGCATAGGGTAATTTAAGATTCCCACCAGGATCAGTCCCGTAATATACAAATTTCGTTACCTCGAGAACTTAGCCGCGTACATTCTGCCTCCCGCGAGTCGAACTTAAGGAAGTGTCTGTCCGATAAGACACTTGTAATTTACCTCGATGAGATCGAACTAGAAGAGAACCTTAACTCCGTGGGGGAGCCAATAGAGATCACGGGCCGAGAGGTCAAACAAATGAAGTAAAGCCGTATCCTGGTAGCAAAGGTTCGCTGAAATGCCAAGCCAGAACTTGAATTCACTTAAGAGCACAAAAATTTAATGAAACAGAAGTGCCCTTATCTATTTCCAAGTTCATGATTAGTTTTCAGTGTCTGAATTTCGGGACGAAATTCCCTCTAACGGGGGGATGATGTGACAACCCAAAACTTCTATCCTGTACAACTACTTTATTCAATCAATGTTAGACCCGTTTCTGTTGTCATTTAGCACTGTTTAACGGTTCGTTTAAGCATTATAAGCTTATGTACAACCAAGGTTGAGATTAGGGATGAAGTATCAAAGTCGTAGAGTAGCATTTTAGGTCATACACTTCTTCAAGAGGAGTGTACGGCCGTACACATGGGTGTGCGGCCGTACACCCCCCTCAGGGCCGCACACTCAAGGTGGTGGGTCACCCACCCCTATATATATGAGTAGAACCCCTTTCTTCATTCCTTTCTTCCCTTGGCTGCACACTACTCCATTCTCTCTCAAGTTCTTCAACCGTGAACCCCCCCAAGACTTCAAAAACGTAAGTATTCCATCCTTTAGCTTGTTATACTTGAAAGACCTCTGGATTCAAGCCTTGGTTCATCAAAGTTTCATCATGTTCTTCATCTTTGAAGGAGTACGGCCGTACACCTTCATAAGGTTGGCCGTACACCCTCTTAAAGGCCCTCCAAAGTGAGAGTTTGACCCTTATCTCCTACGTGGACATGATACTAGCCTTGATTCACCTTAAAGTCGACAAATTGGGCATAAACATGAAGAGTGTACGGCCGCACACCCCTTGTACGGCCGCATACACCTCTTAGGGCCGCAAACCCACTTTGATGATCATTTTAGACCTCAAACTTGCATTGCAACTAAACATGGGACCTATAACACTTCTTGGATGTTAGTTAGAACCTTGGAAACACCTCAAAAGCACATCTCTTCATGAGTGTATGACCGTACACTCATGGGCCACACACACCCCTAGGGTGGCCGTACACCTCCCTCACTCAATCATATGTGATTTTACCACTTAGTTCAAGTGTTTCCAAGTCCCTACAGTGGTTTCCCATCATGTCTAGTAGTAAAATACCCTAATTTGACTCCTATATGTGTTATTACATGTTAAATAGGATCCAATTGTGTTTGAGGCTTCACTTGACACTCAACATCTCATATCGATCTTTCATACAAACCACTCACTTGAGGTGAGTTCATACCCCTACATTTTTCTGAGTTTTAATGTTTTCAAGGGGGGGAATACAAGCCAAACATAAATGATTTTATGAAATTTATACAAAAGGATTTCAGTAAACACAAAGCGGATGCAATCAATACAAACATATAGTTTCTACAGTTTTATAAAATAATTAGATATATGCTGAGCATAAGGGACGTTTTCAACTTACGAGCTTAACCACACAGTTTTCAGATCAATACATGATTTTACACATACAAATACACAAACTATATTAGGTATAGTTTGGAAATTCATACAAGGTTATACATATACATACACACAAACTATATTAGGTATAGTTTGGGAATACATACAAGGTTATACATATACATACACACAAACTATATTAAGTATAGTTTGGGGATACATACAAGGTTATACATATACATACACACAAACTATATTAAGTATAGTTTGGGGATACATACAAGGTTAAACATATACATATACACACATCTTTAATGAATGATTATCTATAAAAAGGTTTTCTCGCATTATTACCTGTAATATCGTTAATCTAGCTTGAGAGACACGTCTTTGGGTACAATTACGTGTACTAGTAGAAGACTACCCCTTATGATCCAGAATCTCCTCGAAGGAGAGCGTGATTTTTGTGTATAGATCTATACGGGACTGACTATCCCGCACCTTGCTGCTAGCTACAGTAGGACCGGGAGGTCTACAGGTGACAAAGTCATAAAGGATACTGGTGCCCGATTCGCGCCATATCAAGTTAATGTATGGACATAAAACTCGCAAATAGATAACAACGATTTACTTATGTAGTAATATATTATACATGAAAAGCGATTATTTAGTATAAGTATGAACAAATACATGGTTTCTTTACGAGAACTAAAACTACTATACATACTGATAATAACCAGGGTTTTCAAACAGAACATTCCATACAGAGATTTCTCGTACAAATTTATCATACAATACATCTAGTAGTAATCCAATCGTACAAACATTTTTACTGGTACTACCTCGCTTTTACTAAAGAAAATATTGGATTTTCTTGGAAACATACAAAACATTTTCACTGATTCGTTAACCGGTTTTTACTACAAAAGATGCTTATGAACTCACCAGCTTTATGCTGATACTATTTTCAAAACTGCTCGTATTCTCAGGAAATCATTAGACAGGTATCTTGACAGACTTTTGAGAAGACGGAGCACCTAGAGTCACGCCTTTTACTTTTATTATACTTTTGGGATGTATAAGAGTACGAAGCAAACTAATGTAAACATTTATTATATATATATATATATATATATATATATATATATATATATATATATATATATATATATTTAATGTAATGGTTGTGTTTACTTTGATTACTATGATACAATTGTTGCGATACTATACATGAAGTCATCCGCCCCCGAACGTTTCCGCCGTTCCAGTTTGGGGGTGTGACACCAATAGAGTGTGAGCTTAACCATATAATTGGGGATGGTTTAACCAAGGGATTGTTTAATCAAAATCCTTAATATCAGCTAAATGAGCAAAATTATTCTCAATAAGCATAGAGAGAGATGGAAGGTGGAAAAGAAGATAATACCCTCATTCCTATCACAAATGGGGAAGAAATGTCTTTTAGGGTGCCAGGCCAAAGGTGCAATACAAAGACGAAATATAGAACCGAAACCGAACCAGTACCAAATATATAGATTCAACTTGCTTTTCGGTTTGCACAATATCTCAATTTTGGTTTCGGTTCATATCATTTTCAGTCCGGTTCAATCTAGTTCCTGGACCATGTTGACCCTTAACCTTACGTGTTTGTCTCACCCAACTCTAAACATACTTATGATTATATTATGATATCATATTTTGTTAGAATTTAAGGGTTTTAGAATAACTTGGATACTCTCTTGGATCGTCTTTGGAAATCATTTTCTGAAATCTATAGGTCGGCCTTTATTCTTGGGGTTACACGAATGCAGATTCATAGGATAATTCAAGAGATCAAATCAAATTTTAGAACCACTCTAATTTACAAACATATAATAGTGTGTTATGTGTTCATCGAGACATGAAGAGAAAAAAATGATTTTTGGTTATTAAACCTTGTAACGTTTCCATCTTCCGTTTTATACTTTGAAGTTGGCGGTTTAAAGAGATGGTTATAGGACAAAACAACGGTTAATCATAGTTACTAAGGGAATAACCACTGTCATATCACCATAACATAACATAACATAGGGCGCCGCTGCTTGGAACCCTGTATCCAAAGGCGATGCCCTCGAATGCACGTATTCCCAAGTTCATATTTATCACTCCAAATGTGCACCCCACACCTCCAGTCTCTATGAATAAATCGAACTAAGTGTGTCTCGATAATAATACTAATTACATTAAAATATATTAATAACACTAAGATCACCAACATATTTATGCATACTTTGTTAACAAATATGATTATATTTTTCTTTTGCTCATCGTGGCTTTTTTTAACAAGACAATCATACATGTCATGACCAATTGTGTTCACATTTTCATATATATAAACCAGTTAACCTCTGCATAAATAATATATCATAATAATAAAAATGTAAGTAGTTTCTCTATAAATGAAAATAAGTTACCGTAAGTGTAAACAAATATACCGTAGTTCATAAACAAACTTATGCATAGAGGGCAAAAAGAGAAAACTGTCCTCGTATGCAACAAAACAATCTCATGGACTAAACCTGTAGGGTTTGAGGGACCGCAGGGATCATTTCTGTAATTTACTCTAAAATGTGTTTGTATTTTTTTGGCTGTGCCACTGCCACCCATTTATTATGGATCTAAGAATTACCTAACTATACAATAGTTAGTATAAAGTATAAACCCAAAGGTGGATAAACTCCATCGATTCATGATTTGGATATACAATTTTATATGAAGCTTCGGATTTGTCTACTTTTAAACAACACTCAACGTAAAAGCCATATAAATTAGCTTGAAAATGATTGAATCATATTTAATTAAACAAAAGCATTAAAACAAATACCATATTTTCAAAGGTCCATAAAATGTATAACACTAATTATATACTTACTTACTATTCGGCAAGAACAAGAACTTTAATGGTTCCACGACTGTTTGCAGTTATCATTGTGGGGCTATCGTTTTTCCAACAAACCGCACTTGTGAAGTACGACCCCGGCTCCTCTCCATCGGTTGCATCCGAACTAAATCCATGTGAAGCTGCTGGTCTCGAAATAGCCTATAAATGTTTCCAATTAAATTTAAGGCCTATGACTGTCTAAGCTAGCTTATATTTGGAGCTTTTTTAGGTTTATCATGTTAGGTGAACCAAAAAGTAGCTTATAAGCTAACTGTAAGTGAAAATAGCCTTTGAAAGTTTGTCCAGTGTGTAACAAACAAAAAGAGTCTAAAGTTGGAAGGTAACCTTATGGTACACAAAGACTTCATTTGTCTCGCTGCCACATGCAATATATTCGCTATTTACGGTTAGACCCACAAAATTCTTCTCGTTCACGTGTCCTCTAAATGTGCGAAGCTTTAAAAGTAAGATACAAGATAAATATGTTAGATATTGACATATTGTTTTGTTGTTAATCAGTAAAAAAATAATTTAATTTGTTACATAAAGAAATGCAACTATGTTGTTATTATGTGGAAAGAGACTTACGGGGATATTCTGCTTGACATCCCACAAGCGCAATGTGCTGTCTGTAGATGCAGAAGAAAGCTCATAATTGGACAGGAATTTTACATATGAAACAGCTTTTCGATGCCCACTAAAAATATGCAACGGTTGGTTTATTTTTCTCAAGTCATAATAATGTATGTGATGATCTGCAGAACCCACCTAAAAGCCACATAAAAATCATTCCCAATAAGTGAAGGTGGACACGTATGTACTTGAAATCAACTTACAATTACATCTTTAGTCCCTGTGCTATAGCGATATTTTCAGATTTGGTCCAAAGAGGATTCTTTTTTTTTTTTTTTTTTTTTTCCTTTTTGGTCGCTATTTCATTGCTTCAATCGCAGGGATGATTTAGTGTTTGGGAATACCAAAACACGGACCAAAAAGGAAAAAAAAGGTTCCTTGTTGAACCAGATTCCAAAAATATCACTATAGGACAGGGACAAAAATGTAATTTACTCTATAATGTTGAAATTTGAAAAAACTGGACAAGTGAAACAAACTTACTGCAACATGGAAGCTAGATCCAGGATTATACTTCACTGAACAAATATTTGCTTTCATGTCAATGTTAAGGACACTTGCCTCTTGTCTTGTACACCATATTTTGACCTGTTTGATAAGTTGGGAACATAAGAAATAGCAACATACTTTCAATTTATTTGTGTATCATATTCATAGCATCCTACTTTATTTTCTTACATTGCTATATAATGGCATGATGCACAAAAGCATAAAAATGAGTAAATGATATACCTTACAGTCATCGCTTCCAGATACTAGCATTGTAGGTTCAGTACGTGAAAAATCAAGACTCCATGCTCGTTTCTCATGCTCCTCATACTCCATCACACTCTATGGCAAGATTTGTAATTTAGACCGATATAATAAAATATGCAATAAATAGCAATGTACTTTCTTTCTCTAATAGTGAAAGAAGGAAGCATTAATAAACAAGTCAACAAAAGTAGGTTGCTATTTCTTGTGTTGAACATTAAAAAGACAAAAGAATGATGACCTGGCGAGTGGTTACATCCCAGACAGTGACAATACCCTCGTAGTCACTACTGGCGATGTAATTTTTGGTGTATTTGTTCCAGCTCAAACAGCTAAGTTTGGAGCGCGTTGACATTTCTACAACAGGACACTGAACATCAGCTTGTTCATTCACCACCTGGAAAACCGTTGATGCAGATGAGTACATATGAAATGAAGGGCAAATCAGTCTTTTTTGCATCACTTACTGAGGCAAACTCAAACACTTTGATGCGTCGTGAAACTCCAGCTGTAGCAAAAAGCTCATTATCTCGGTCAAATTCTATGCTGCAAGTAGGAAAAAAGTTTGGAGTATTTATTAATTATTTATTATAGCATCCTACATAATACATTCGTTTCTTTCTATTACAGGGTTGTATTTTGAAAATATTTATAGCAGTGTCATCCAAATAAAAAGTAATTTTTCACTGCTATAATTGAGTAGATTTTTAAAAATACAATGTCCTGATAAGAAAATGATGTTGTGGAATATATTATTAAACTAGTTATCATTATATAGTAATGTTAGGTGATATTTCAAAATTTTATTTAATTATTCTCGTGTTCAATTTTCAGTTTATAACAGTTTTCAAAGAAACAATCATTATTGCTAGACAGAAGGGTAAAATGGTCATTTACTCTGATTAAGTACTGTACGAATGAATGCCCTTTCTTTTTTTAAAACTGAAAGAACCATGTTACCGACAAGAAATGACCATTTTACCCTTCAGCATGAATTTATTTATATTAAGTTACAAATGACTACCCACTTTATCATAGAATATGAATTCTAAATTACAAAAAAAAAAAAAAAATCAAACCACTTTATACACCATAATTCTTCAACTCAACTGACCTTGATATAATATCAGCCGAGTGGAAAAGATCCCCATGCCTCAACTCAGCAATGACTCGCAATCGACTACATAAAACACACAATAAAATCAACATGTTCAAATCTAATCCTTGATTAAAAATAAATAAATAAAAACAAACTAAACACACACAGAACCTGTATCGTGTAAATGTAGAAAGCACAGACTGAAATTCCTTAAGTCCATCATGATAACCTTCTCCTTTCACATTTCGACCTTCCCTTTCTTCCTGCTTATGTGCTTGTTTTTCCCAATGTCTCCGTTTTTGCAGATAACACTCTTGCAAATCATTAAACTGTTACAATCAACAAAACATGATGAAAAACAAATCAAATAAAAAATAGTGTGTAAATGGGGCCCACATGGCCATTAATCAATTTTTTTTTTTTTTTTTGTGATGACCTGTGCATGGACGCGTCTTTTTCTTGCTACAGTTGATCCTACTTGAGTATTTTGTGAATCTGAATCTTTTTTTTGGAGTGATAGAGAGTTTGTAGTAGTAGCTTGTAAATCAGGTAACCTATTTTGTGTACTACCTGCACCCATAATACCTATACTGCTGCCATTACGTTTATCCATCAATGATGGCCATGAAGTTTTAACACTGGAATCATCAGCAAGCATCCTTAGTTTTACTGAGCATCTTTCTCTTGCTCTATGTAATTCTATTCTGTGTCTTTCAACAGCATTTATGTCTTCCTTAATGTACCCTAGATCTTTTTGTATCTGCAATAAAATGCCAAATCACTCAAAGTTAAGGGGCTTGTTTGAAAATTGTGTGCAAAAGCCAAAATTCGATATGACCTCGTTTAGTTCTTCAAGTTTTTGTCTTCTTAAGCAGTATAAAAATTCATGCATAATCTGTAGATTTGACTCGGTTTCTTCTTGCTCCATTCTTTTTTTCTTGTCAGTGAGAACAACTATGAGGCTGTCCAGCTCCTTCATTGACACATCACATCCCTGTCTACGTGAAAAGAGTCACCTTTCAATATAAAAAAATGACATAAATATTAACAAATTTCAACTTGTATCAGTTATTTTTTTTGTCCATATGCTTATTAGTTCAACCCCATGGTTTCTCATTTCATAATGAATACAACTACATGAATTAGATATTTAGTATCACTGGTGGAAGAAACAAGGAGAAACATTGAAGCTTTTGAGAAAATATATACAGATAAAAGTGCAAGCCCACAATTTGAAGATCATAATTGTAAAATCTTTCATAAGTGAATATATCATGCATCAAAAAGTGATGCTAATAAGTTTATAAGAATTAAGAGCAGCTGATGATCAATACGATAACTGACACTGACCTGTTGAAATGCTAGCCGGACTTGTTCAACAGGAGAAGCACCTTTTGCTATTTGACAAGCTGAAGCCTTCATCAATAGCTGCAGAAATAGTCTTTTTTCATTAAGTAGCTAGAATATAAATGCCTAATGTATACTTTGCTTATTGTGTAATTGTGAATGATAAACAAGAGCATTTTAAGCAAATATATAGACATATTCTACCTGAAACAGATCATAATCCTTAACATATTCACAAACCGAAAGGGAAAGATATTTATTTCTTCAAATTATGTAGCCAGAGATAACCAAATTGAGACTTTTGAATTACAGGGTCAAATGGGGTATTAACAACAAAACTTCATTGTAATTGTTTCAGAATGGAATTGGCATGACAGCTTATTTCTTAAGGACTTGATGTATACTATACTTGATACACTTTCCACAACCAAATCAATGACAATGTTGTGAGCTAATTCATGGTTTAAGATATGCTGATAAAACACTCAGACCTAAACCCCAAACAGAGAAAAATAGTAGATATACAAAATTGTACACCTCATGGTTAAGCTGTCAAGCAAAGAGTTGAAATGTCAACAAGCATGTTAAACATGGGAAGAAACAACTAAAGAAGCATATATATCGAGCTCTTATAGACACAAATCAACATATATGAAGATTAATTGCCCAATTTTCTAAAAGGATTACCATATCAGATGACGAAATATAGACACACTACATCACAGAATCCAACATTGACCTCGCGCCAAACTAAAAAGTTAAAAGTTCCATTTCTAAAGAAATGAATAAATATATCCAAACCAATTTTTTATATTCTGCATGCTTTGTTCCATTACCAGTAAATATACAGGAAATGGAACACTAATCAGTAATCAGTACAAACAGCGTGCTATAAGCTTATCGAGCTTTTGGACCATAGATTTCTTAATCCTCTTCTAAACTTCTAATTAGCCTAACAACAATAAAGAATAACACATTTACGAATCAAAATTTGTGCTCGTGTGCATCAATTCTAAGTATCCATGAGTGTCGAGACTCTGATTACTTTACCTTATTTAGCAAAAAATTAGGAAATATCTGACTAGTGGTGAGATACTGCGCACAACAAGGACAATCGCTCTTATTCTGAAGATGTGTAGCAATGCACATGTAACAGAAGTTATGACCACACGATGTCAAAAACGCATCCTTAATGATCTGCATGCATATCGGACACAACACATCTTTATCCAGCGATGCCGCATCTACAGCCTCACGATCATTTCCCCTTGCATCCACCTCCATCACGGCCACAGCGGAATCCGGTGCCGGAAGCTGCGACTGAGGTTCCTGAGCCACCGGAAGTGATGGAGAAGAAGATGCGAGTCCCTCTGTTGCCGGTTCAGGCGGTTCCGACTTCACCGACGGCACAATCACTCCTGCTACTGAACCACCTCCCATGGCCATACAATTCGGTCTCTTTGTCAGCCTACGAGCACATTTTCTCTCTCTAAATCGGAGTGTGAAGATATCAAATGGCTTACCGTTGCAACGCTTCTCCGCGGTGTGTGAGCTATGTGTCTGTGTGCGTGTATGGGTGGAAACTGACCACGTTATGCGGGAGTCTTCCGTTTTGATTCTTTTCCATTCCTTCCAAATAAATATTTGTGCACCGATCTCCTTAATATCTTTTCATGCCTATCTTTTATTAAAATTAGTTTATTTTATTTTTTATTTTATTTTTATATAGCATTAGCTTGTAAATTAGTTTTTGTTATTTAAACATATATCAAAATATTTATCAAAATACTGAGTATTTTAGATCTTTATAGCTCGTTCAACTACCACTTTTACTTTTTGATGATTTTGACATTTTATTTATGAATTTATGAGTTATCTAAATTTAATGTTGAATGTGCAACCTCAATTCTAGGCATATTTTTGATATAAGTGGTCATCGATTTTATGCATACGATTTTTGTTTTGTTATATTATTTTTTATTTTGTTTTGTTATATTATTTTTCATTAATTTTATCAAATAAAATCTATTAATTTAAATTATCTCTAACCATTGATATTTTTATAAGCTTTTTTTTTCTATAATTAACCAATTTATTTTTAACTATTTGAAATACTAGTTAATAACCCATGGGAACCACAGGTATAAAATTAATTAAATTTTCATAGTAAAAAGATCAAAATTATTAATCAATTATTTTAAATAAATTGTTAATTAAAAAATAATTTTTTAGTTATATAAAACTATAATCGTTGATTTAAATAAATATGTGATCTTATAATCTGTATTATTTTTATTTTTATTATAATGTTATTAATTTAATGTAATTAGAGTGAAAAAATTTTAAATTTGAAATGGAGATTAAATAGGTTGACAAATGACATGACATTAATTAGGTGGTTAATAGAATGACACATAGCAAAAGGAGAATAAACCTATTATTTTATTAAAATAGAGAGATAATATAAATCCTCGCATCTAAATTGTTATTTTTTACACAAGCATCAATTTTTTAAAATAAAATAGTACATGACAAAAATTAAAAACATAATTTTTTCGTTTTTTTTTTCAAAAATACAAAGATTGTAAATTCTTACATATATAGTTAAAAAAATACAATATATATATATATATATATATATATATATAATATATATATATATATATATATATCTAACCCTAAGAGTTCCTCCGCAAGGTTCGTCAACAGAGGGTGAGTCAGGGCCTAAGATCAGGCCGCAAGGCGTAGTCGACGGACAACAGGTGAATATTCATGTACTACCCCTTGTTGGTCCCGAGGAACAGAGGATGCTAGGTTAGCCGAAAGATGGTTATCGGTTCAAGGACGTAAGGTGACCCTGCTTTTTTAGGGTAAGAAGGGGTAGAGAAAATGTCTCGGGCCAATGTTCAAGTACCAGGCGCTACAGCGCTGAAGTAACCGATGTCATACTCCCAGGAATAGCTCGAACGACCTTCAACAAAAGGTACATGTGCCCGAAACCGTTTAATATCAAACATTAAAATGAAATATTACTAAACAAAATTAATTAATTGATAAATAACATAGATTTAAAGTTTAACTATAATTAGAGAGTAAAATAAAATATATTTATATGACTTCATTGATTAGAGGTGTAAGAATTGGAGTATATTTATATGTATCAATGTTACAATAGGCCCCCTATAGTATACAAAGAGAAAATAACAACATAAATTAACATACCCTTTCAGTTTAAGCATGAGGTTTACAAATGTTCACATTGTCTCTAAAATCCAAAATAGCAGAGTATGAAGACTCTTGGTAAATATATATGCAAACTGGTAAGCTGATGGCACATCCAAAACACGCACATGTCCAGTGGCAACACGTTCCCTAACAAAATGTAAATCTATTTCCACATGCTTGGTACGTTGGTGTTGTACAGGGTTAGAAGATAAATACATGGCACTCAAATTATCACAAAACACAATCGTAACTTTAGATAACAGAAAAGATAACTTGAGAAGGAGGTTGCGAAGGCATGTACCAAATCTTATTGCTATAATTCAACTTTTTAATGTTGAAGTAGACAAGAAAAAGAGAGTTGAATACATCCTCACAAAGATTTGATAGATCCAAATATGTTGATGTCCTTAATCGAAGATTCTCTCTGGATCCCATTGTGAAATTTAGATGTACCAAATCCAAGGGGGAAAGAATTCTGACAGTAAACTTAATGAGGAAAGACACAAAAGGAGAATATCCTAAAAAGATTCATGTGTTCGATCTTGTCAAATATGGATATAGTGAATGGTTGGAAATTCAGGTTATCATTAAACATCACAAGGGCATTCATGCACAAGAGCTAAAGCTTTCCATCATCTTAATGATCAATAAAATCAGAAATTTGGATTTAGTCCCTCTCCCCGATGCATCTTTTATGCGTACGAATTCATTGTTTGCAAGATCTGAAAGAAGGTCCCAATATTCAAAGTTCTTACTTCCTTATGGGGCTATGTACATCAACAGTTCTCTTCCAGCAAATGTTGAGTGCATTCAACATCTTTTCATCAAAGAACCTGAACATGGAATGTTCTATGTTGACAACAAGGACCACATATACTTTCAACGATCTCTTGATCTTCACAAAGCTCCAACTGGACATCCCGTTCATTTGAGATTGGAATGCAAAGAAAAACCAGAAGCTGACTGCTATCACTGGATTATCTCTTATGAACTTGACAAAAGTAGTGTGACAACCCGGAACTTTTATCTCGCACACTTAGCCAATTCAATCAAAGTTAAACGTGTTTTGTTGACTTCTGGCACTGTTTGAGGGTTCGTTTAAGTGTTTTTAAGCTCGAGTATGACCAAGGTGGAGTTTAGGAACGAGTCAGCAAGCCATAGAGTGACAAAATCAGGCCATACACACCCTTAGGGGGAGTGTACGGCCGTACACATGGGTGTGCGACCGCACACTCACCTCTTGGCCTCACACTCCCTTCTAGGTAGCACACCCACCTTATATAAAGGGTAGACCCCTTTCCTTTCATTCCTTTAACAACCTGGCAGCACACAACACCTTTTCTCTCAAGACTCTTCAACCGCAAACCCTCCCAAGGCTTAAAAAACATGAGTAATCCATCCCTTAGCTTGTTGTACTTGAAGAACCACTTCATCTAAGCCTTGATTCATCAAGTTTCATCATGTTCTTCATCCCTTGAAGGAGTGCGGCCGCACACCTTCATAAGTTTGGCCGCACACTCCTAAAACAACCTCCAAAGTGAGAGTTTGACTTCCATATTCGAGATAAACATGCCCCTAGCCTTGTTGTACCTTGGAAATGGCATTTTTGGACATCTTGTGTGAGGTGTACGACCGCACACACCTGTGTACGGCCGCACACACACTTGTGCGGCAGCACACTCCAAGTGTGCGGCAGCACACCCAAGTGTGTGACCACACACTCACCTTTGGACCACAAACACATTTCTAGGACCCCTAACTTGCATTACAACGGAGAATAGACCTAGGACACTTCATGGATTGCAAGTATGGACCTTGAAACACCCCAAGAACACCTTCCATCATGGGTGTACGGCCGCACACCCCTTGGGCCGCACACTCATGGCCGCACACACCTTAAAGGTGGCCATACACTCCCCTCATGCAATCCTTTAAGGTTCTAACACTTAGTGCGAGTAGTCCCAAGTTCTTAGAGTGGTTCTTCGTCACATCTAGTGGTGAAATACCTTCATTTGACTCTGTTATGTGTCATTACATGTTAATTAGGATCAAAGCGTGTTCAAGGCTTCACTTGAACATCCATCATTTCGTGTCGATCCTTCATTCAAATCACCCGAGGTGAGTTCATACCCCTACATTTTCCGTGTTTTTAATGTTTTCAGGGGGGGGAATACAAGCCAAACTCAAAGTATTTTATTAAGTTTTAAACTTATTAATACAGTCCAACGATTTCCACGTTAATAACATATTCGGATGTTTTATCTCTTTTTGTAATATGTTGAGCATAAGGGAAACTACTATTTTGGAAATCTAATTTCATAGCTTTCAGAAAGGGTTTTACAAAGCAGCTCTATATCAACTCTAATAAACTATAACGGGTATAGTTTGGGATAACCCTCTAGACATCTCTACCTAATCAGATTTCATAAATGAATATATATAAACTATGGCAGATTTAGTTTATGTTATATATTTTCTCAGGAGTATAAATTACTATTATTCAAGGATAATTATTGTTTTATACTGTTTCTCGCTAGTAAACTAGATTATACATAATTGTGAGGCTCTACTTCAATACTGTACCCTTAGGTGTATAGTGATAAATCCTATCCCAGTATAACCAGAGTCTCCTGGAGGGAGAGTGTGAGATTTGTGAATAGATCTATTCGGGACTGACAATCCCACACCAGAACTGTTAGCTACAGTTAGGCGGGCACGCCTGTGGTGAACAAATGCCATTTAGCTTAACGCCTGAAGAACGTTATAAAGGTCTCTTGGTCATATCAGGTATGGTTATACGACTCGCAAATAAGTATAAACTAAGTTTGTTTACGGACTTTATTCTTCATTTGTTTTATTTTAAGTAATAAAACTACTTTTATATATGCTGATAGTAATCAAGGACTTCTAAACTGGCATCTCTACCTCTAGGACGGATAACATGTTTTCTAAAACTGATGATTTATTTTCTACTAATAGACACTCTTCCAAGACCGCTTTTCATAAGAAAATACAGGATTTTATTGAAGAACACTTTTCAAATGGATTCAAAGAACATTTTCTCACTAAAACTAAATACTTATGAACTCACCAGCTTTATGCTGATATGCTTTCAAAACTGCTTGTATTCTCAGGGCATTAGTAAACAGGTACTTCTAGGAGTTCGGAGAAGACGAAGCGTTAGAGTCGCGTCTGTCTATTTTACCTTTGATATGAACAAAACTATGTATTAAACAATGTAAACCTTTTTCATATATGTATTCAATGTCTGGTTGTGTTTACTATGCTTGCTATGATACAATTGTTGTGATACTACGCATGACGTCCTCCACCCCGGAACGATTCCGCCATCACGGTTTCGGGGTGTGACAGATTGGTATCAGAGCCCTTGTTTATAGCGAACTAAGTATACCGAACCTTACATGGTATACAACTATAAATATTAAGGGGCCTAAGTGCTCTAAACTAAAAGTATACTTTCAAAAATACAAGTATTTTTTATAAAAGTATATAAGTATACTCGAGTATCAGAATCCGTGTCGTAAATAGAACAAAACAAAAGTATTTGGATGTAGGACACTGTGGTTAAACCTGGGCAGTTATGTAATCATGTCTAGGGTCAATATAGCCTGATCAACTATATTCATTCGAGACATGACCAACATGTGCTTGGGAGTGACTATGGTGTTGCAGCAAGCCTATAAACTTACCAAAAACATTCCACATAAAATACTATAGGAGTATTTTAGCTAGAGCCAAACTCAGTATATAGATTAATTCCAAGTGTTGCTACCTCTCCTTTCTTAAGCGATAACTTACTTGCATTAGTAACCTTTCTGTGCTTATCGCTTGGTAGAACACTTTTGTTATCAGGATGAGATATATCTTGTTTCGTATATCTTGAGGACTTACCATCCTCTTCTTCCTGATTGTTTCTAGAAAAAGATGCCTCCTCGACCAAGACCCAACAGAAGGAACAACACTCCGCCACCACCATCACCTCCCCAGTTCGACCCCGTCATGTTCCAGGCAGCAGTTACCGCCGTTGTAACCGCAGCGATGGCACAAGTAAACTCTGGTGGGGTTGGAGGTGGAACCGATCCGCAAAGACAAGAAGGAAGTCAGGGACATCAAAAGGAGTGTTCCTACAAGGACTTCATGACCGCAAAACCCAAGTCCTTCGATGGAAACGGAGGAGTCATCACTCTAACCCGATGGTTCGAGAAGATTGAATCCATCTTCGAAATTTGTGCCTGTTCCGAAGCAAACAAGGTGAAGTTCGCCGCCTGCACCTTCACCGACAGAGCCTTGACCTGGTGGAATGGTCGAGTCAAAACCCTAACCCTACCGGTGACTAATGTCATGGGTTGGGAAAGACTGAAGGAACTCATGCTTGCAGAATACTGTTGGGTTTTAGTATACTACAACATCCTATGGTACACATACAACCCTAAATACCTTGGATCTATGTTTTCTCTATTATACATTCAAATATGAAGTTTCCAAGATATTACCCTATACTAGCATACAAATATCATATACTTGGGTAATAAAATAGATAGAATACATACCTTTTTTTGATGTAACTTGTCTTCATGAAGCTTGAGTGCCTAGTGCCCCAAGTGTGACACCTCAAATGGTTCACACAACACCATGAACACTTGGAATAACCTTGAGAATAAGGATACTTTGGTTCTCTCTAGTGAAATCGGCCTTGCCCTTTTGTGTACACACACTAGTTCCAATTTTACCAACCAAGGACATCTTTATATAGTGTGGAGATTAGGGTTAA